TTAACATCTGGGATAGAACACACACTGCTGGGCACAGCCTGCTGTGCAAGCCAAGCCACGATCTTAAGAGCCTTTTCCAGCCTAAATAAATGGTTGTGTGGGTTCTGTGTAATACCCCTGCCAAGCAGGAATATCACAGCTTTGTTTGGCTGTCCTCCTGAAGCACAGAGTGTGACCAGGAAACTGAAGAACCTCCTGTGCACAGGGACTTTCTCTCCTTTTTTCCCAGCTTCTCAAAAAGATAGAAAGAATGGGATTTCAAAGTCATGGCATTTCTGTGCTTGGGATGTCAGTCCAGCCCAGAACTTTGCCCATCCTGGGCATTGCTGAGGGAAACTCACACTGCACTTCCACCTCTAAAGCAGATTTCTTGGTGAGGCACTGGTTGGTGCAGAACATACAAAAAAGAAGAGGATTTTGCTTATAATGTTTCACTTACAAGGAAAAGCTTTGAACACTTTTCATTTCGGGGCTCATTAGGCAAATCCTGGACCAGGTAAATGATGAGTGAGTGGTATTCTCATCTCTCTCTTTTCCTCCCTCTTCTCCAGCTGAGGAATAAATTATGTAGGATCCTACACAGAGGGTGAGCAGAGGTTTGACAAACACAAGGCCAAGTACATAACAGAAATTTTCAAATGGTTGTGCTGAGGAAGTAATTTCATGATTTGTTCAGTTCCAGATTTTAACCTCAGTGCCAAGAATCGATGTCACATAATAATGAAAAGTCTAAAATAATTTTTAAATACAGAGAGAGAGAGAGAGAGAAATGCAGTACAAAATACAGCTAAAAATAAAAGAGCAAAAGTAAGCAAATAAGGCATGCTCAAAATGGGCATGGCAGTTTCCTCTGGATTAAAATTAAGATTTAGTTACCACCCAGTCTAGTGAACCTGGAGTGGATCTGGAAGACATTAAAGATTTGGAATAAAAAACACAGAGCTGAAAAATTATATTTGATTACTAATTAAAGTAAACTGCAAAAATAACAGCAGTGGGCTGCCAATATCATTTGTACTTCTGTAGTGCATCCAAACACACTGTGTGGAATTGCACTGCTCAGTCTTTGAAAGAGGAACATTTGAATAAAAATGCATAACCAAGTTTAGGACTTTAGAAACAGTGCAGAGACATCAGCCCATCCCAAAAAAAAGCCAAGCCCCAGCTGGGACTTGAGACAGGGATGAAGACCTGCAGGGATCAGGCTCAGACAAGACCTGGTGCTCGGGCTGGATCCCAGCTGGAATCCCCTGGGCCCACAAGCAAGGTGTGCAAGGGGATGCTCTCAGGTGCCAACTCATATCCTATATGAGATTTACCATCTTAATTTAATGCATCTTTTGGCCTTTCAACTACAGAGTGTATTGAACTCCATAAAGTGCCTTTGAACTTCCATGGAAATGTCTTTTTATACTTACATATTGATTTGTTATTTATCAATTTATTTTTCTCTAAAAAAGAAAAGCCAAGTGTCTAGGAGTTTTGGTTGTTTTTTTTTTTTTTCTTTAAAGCACAGTCTGAGCTCAGCTGGGTTCTGCCAAACTATGGATTTGTTCTAGACAATCAGGGTTGTGATTCCATCACATCAGCCATGGCCAGGGAAAGCAGGACAGCCCTGCTGGGAGCCTCCCAGAGCAAACACAAGTGATGGCAGTGGATCAAGAGTCCAAGGAGCTTCTTAGAGCTGAGAGACTGAGTCTCCCACGAGAGATTAAAGATGGAGCTGTGCTCCGTGAAAAGCTGCCCTCAGGAATGTTGTCACCAGAGGAACCTTTGTCCCTGTCCCTACTCCCATTCCCCCGTGGCAGGACTCCAGTCAGCACATACAAACCAGCTCAAGGGATGTGAATGTCCCAACATGAAACTTTGAAAGGACCAGAGATCTGAAAAACTAATCAGATGGCTGGTTCATTAGTGCTCAGGAAACTGTGGTATGTTTTAAAAAGCTTGACAGTCTCTTTAGCCTTTGATAAATCACATACATTAGCCACCCCAAAGGTCTGCTCAGTAGCTGCCACCCCACTGTAACATCTTGCTTTCTTCTCC